ATGAGATACACAGATACAACTAGCCCAGTGACTCAATAGCCCAGGCAGCAGTGTGAATCTGGTCCTCTAAGGCAGGAAATGCACATGGAGTAGACACTATCTGTGTTTCTATTTTGCAAAATCATTTGGTGTTATCTGCCTTTGTCTGTGTATTATTAGCTTGGTCTAATTTGTCTAGGACAGGGATTTTTTTCAGTTTTGGCAGATTGATCTGCTCCTGCAAAAGGCAGCTCTAACTTCTCCACTCTTCAGATGGGGCGTTTCATCAAGCCTGTACAATAGCAACAGTTCTCAATACCATTCTTAAAATACAAAACAAACCAAATGGATGGAGAAAATGGAAAAAATCTGGATTTACACTATCCAGTACTGCACTTTATGCATGCTGGAGAAAGGATAAGCAACAGTTCTCAATACCATTCTTAAAATAGAAAGCAAATCAAATGGCTGGAGAAAATGGAAAAAATCTGGATTTACGCTATCCAATACTGCACTTTATGTCATGCTGGAGAAAGGAGTACTCCCCATTTTACACCTGAAGTGTAAGCTTCATTTATACCAGGTTAATACAAGTTGGAATCAAGTAGCCCTTATGATTTTATTCTCTTAGAGCAACTTCCAAATCCAGTTGGATTTGTCCTTTCTGGCAATAATAATAATATTGATCATAAGAAAGGAAAGAAAGCAAATATTCAGTCGTGTCTTCATTATATCTGAAACAAAGGCTTTCTCTAGCTGTTGATTGCATTGATTTGTTGAAAACTTATTCCTAGGAAGAGGAAAGCAATTCACTTCTCCAGCCTTTGTAGAAAAGCTGTCAGTGCCTGACTATTAAAAAGCCTGCTTATAGCTGCAGCGGCCTATGCACCGTGCAAGTAATCCATTTAAAGATCAACCTCAAAATTCTCCTTCCCTGATTCTCACCCCACTGGAATGTAGCAGCAGCCCGTTCATCCCCGTAGGAATGCAATGACTGGTGAAAACCCTTCATAAGTTCACTTTACTTTCAAATATGAGGCTATTCAGATAATTTCTCCCTCAGACCAGGGATCAGCTGCTGGTGATCAGGCCTCTTTGATCACTTCATCTGACCACTAATCAATGTATAAACTAGTGCCTGTGAACACACAGCCTTGCAATTTTGTCTCGGTAATAAAAAATTTCTCCTTTTATCAGCGTAAGCATCTAATTCTGGGTTATCCAAGGGAATTGTGGTGATGGGAGTTGAAGACCTAACAGCCTGCAGGCAAAGGGAAGTTGCAGTTGGCTTTAGCTGTTGTACTCCAGGTGCGTTTCACAAGGAGAAGTGAACAACCTAAAATTCCATGACATGTAGGGCCATGAATTTGAATGTCCATTTAAGCATAGTCACACCGGAGAGAAGGGCATCGCTCTGTTCAATCCAAAGAGGCACCCACATGTTTCACCTCCAAGGTGAATTTTTTTTCTGGTATTTCCCCATCTCCCATGAATTTCCCAACCAGGAATGCGCATTAAGGGACGATTACACAACGCTTGGTGAAACTCCCTTTATTTATTTCACTTGTGTTGTTGCTGCTGTTGTATAAGAAAGAGCAAAATAACAACAACAAAAAAAAAAAGAACAAAGTAAAATAAAATAGTAGCTGACCCAAACATTTTCAACACGTTGAAAACCCCCTCCGAATGCAAAGACTCTTTCTTTCTGCCTTTTTCTTTGCATTGATTTGCACAAGCATTTTTTTCTCTGTGAGCCAAATACATCTCTGGTATAACTTCACTGAAGTCACCGGACTTACACCAGAGGTGGTTTTGGTCCTCTGTCCTGGGTAAATACAGTAGGAATCAATTGGTCACGCAGGCAGAGTGTCTGGCAATAAGTGCACCGAGTGGTCCTGGCAAACCAATAGGAAAGACCTAAAAATAAAAATCCCAAACATGTCTTTTATTGAACATAGGGCCTAAAAATCTACTGGGAGCTGCTGAATACTGCTCACTAACTGTACAAAGTATAGGTAGCATGCCTTCCAAATATCAAAATACCAGACGGAATGCCGTGAAAATAAATAACTTCTAATATAAACAAATGAGAACATATCAAACTGTTACCTCTTTAAACATAATGTAAATAAAAAAAATACCAGTCCTTCTACACAATAAATATTAAGAAACCATTGACATAGTTGAAATGTACTCATATAAATTAACAACTTTAATTACATTAGCCAAACAGACATTGGTTAAAGCACTGCATGTAGTATGCAAAATAATAATAATAACAATAATAATAATAATATCAACAACAAAACACAAAATGATAAAAACAAAATAGGCTTCATAATATCTTGGCTTTCATAATTTATATATATATGTATATACATATATATATAGTTGTGTGTGTATATATATACTGTAGATATATATATAATATGTATATATACATACATATATATATCTTCAACCCATCGTCAATGTGTTGCTTTTGAAAGTATTTAAATACAAGGAAACCCATTGAGAATTAACAAAGATTCACTATATCTCAAAAAAATAAATAGCTATATAACCCAGAAGTGTTGTTTGTTTCTGCCCATGAAAATGTTGCTTATAGTTGTTCCCAAAGGTCAAATTAGGGTTTTTTTACTCGTACTGAAAACCCTTTTACTCCACATGTAACGCAGTGAGAGCAGATGGGGAGTAAAGCTTTGTTTCAGTGTAAGGAAAGTGATTAGCATCTGATTCTTATCCTGATGCACACTATTGACATGAGGTTTAACTTAAGGAACTTAATAATTTCCATCCCATCTCTTCTACCTACGCTCCAGAAATAGAATTTGCTCGCTGTATTGATGCTGACTGCTAACTTTCTAGGAAAGGAGACCCTCTGAAATCAACCCCATTGCTTACAGAGTAAGGCACTATTCCACGCGAGTGACTCCAGTCCATAACATTTTTCATTCAGCACACAGACTTTACAGATGCCTGCACTTCTCTGCCTCAGAGATATTGCTGCCAGCCTCTACGTGGCCGCGCAGCGTAACGGTTTAATGAGCTCGATGGCTTAAATTTCAACTAAACACAAAAGAAGCAGGTATATATAACGGAGTCCTATTTTTGCAGTGATTTGGTAAGAGTCTGTTTCTATTGAAGTCAATGACAAAACTCCCATTTCATTCCCTTCTGCAGCTTTATGCCCTAGATCAGTATTCTGCTGTGACATATGAGTGCAGAATAATTATAAGCATCTGTAAGCGTTTCCTTTTGCTAAAGCCCAAAGAACACAAATCCATTCAGCCCTCCCAAAGAAACCTCTTCACGTGCACTTCTTGGGCCTCGTATCCAGTGAGCATCTGACGTGGGGAGGGGGAAAGACAACCCAACGCGGTCAACTGCGAAGCAAGAAGATAGTGGAGGTACTAAAAATGTACATTTCAGTGATGAAATACATACTGAAAATACACTTTCAGTATAAACAGGAAGTAGGTTATATGGAAAGGAATGCGTTAGTAGTTAAAAACCTATGGGTTTTTTTTTTTTTGGTATAGTCATACCTGAAAGGAGGAATAATTTTTGAGACTGCATGCCCTTGAACAACTGTTTAAATATGGTAACAATTTCTAATGCTATTTTGAGTACATGCAGATCTAATTAAATCAAATTATCGGGGGTGGGGTGTTTTGCTGGAATCAGTCAGTCTTGATTAACATCCCGATTTCTTATTTTATTTTATCATATAGTTTTTCATTTCCCCCTACTTTAAATAACCCTGACCACAAATCAAAACCCCATGACTGAATCTAGATATTGGAGGGAGAAACCTTTAAAATTTGAGACTAGTGTACACACACAAACAAAAGCTAAAAAGCAGGGCTTAGGAACTTCTTCAATTAAAAACCTTTTTCTGGATTTGGTTTATCTGTCATGAAACATGCTCTCCACACCCAAAATGCTATTTTCTTTCCTCACTTCCAAGTTGTCTCAGGCTGGTTTCACGTTTTCCAGGGTCAGCCCCCGTTCACCTCATCAAATCTGGTATCAAACTCAGCTGACTTCTTTTTAAAGGTTATTTCTGCTTCAGCCAGGAAAACTCTCAGCCTAAATTTGCTCTGCTTGCAACCAATGGGAGTTTTGCCATTGCTACATTGGGGAAGGTGCTGGGTTTTCAGGTCTCTAATGCTCTTTAACTAGCCACACCTGAGCATAATTTTCACTACCATGAGCCATCTCACCTGCTTCTCTTGCCACTGTTAAGAGATCAACCATGATGCAAGCAGCCTGGTTTAAATAATTCACTTCAACAATATTGGATATGGGGCCATTCATTCCAAATCCTTTCTCTCCCTTTGTGCTGCCCACAGCAAAAGGAACCTCATGGAAGTATTTCTGCTACTCTTCTAAGAAGACCACCAGATGTCAAAGAGCCTGCTGACATGAGTAAGGGTCCTGGGACAACATGCATCTAATTTTAAGGCCAAATCTAAAGCCTAGTGAAATAAAAGGGATTCTCCTCAACAACTATCACAGATTTCGTCCCTGCTCCTGCTGTTCCAGAGCCTGGCTCTACTGCTAGAAAAATCAACGGTAATTCTGCCACTCGCTTCAAATGAGACACGGTAAGGAACTTGGTTTGTTTAAATTATAAATTAGTTGTGCATCTTTTTTTTTTTTTTTTTTTTTCCTTTGTTCAATTTTCCTACTAGCATTTGGTATCCCTCCCTTTCCCCAGGAAGAAAACACAAAAACCCAACAAACTTCTGCAAAATAATTTAAATCAGAAAGCCTTGATATTTTACAGAATACTTTAGTGACAAATTTAGTGTTTACCCAATCGTTGTGTATTTTTTTTTCAAATTTTTTTTTTTTGCAAATTGCAAACAAGTCTGTAAAAAAAATGCATTGTATAAAAAGTACATAAATGTATAACCCATTAGCTGTACTATGCAATCTAAATACTGTGGAATAAATTAGATAGAAAACTTAGCTATAAGCATGTATGTTGATATCTATTCAACGGAGGAAAGGGGTTTTTTTTTTTTTCTTTTTTCTCTTTTTTTTTCTTTTTTTTCCCTTGTTTTTTTTTCTTCTTTTTTTTTTTTTAAATCTCTATTGATACGTACAAATACAGACATGCGCCCACGCGCACACACAGATGCACACCCAGAGAAGGCTCACGCACACTTGCACACACACACACACACACATAAACAGTTTTGGCTGACAAAAATGAAGGCCCTGATTACACTGTTTCAACATAGTTCTTGCCATAAAGGTGCTAACACGCTATCCCTAGCCAATGCAAGCGGGTTAAATTGTGCTATATTTTTATATTTTATTTTTTTTTAATTTTTTAATTAATTTTTTTTAACCGGACTGTGCTCTCAACAAGGTGGGGAGCCCCGTGAGCGCTTCTTTCTGCGGGAGGTGTTTTAAAAACCCCTTCCATCAGAAGGCACCCAGCAAGGCCTTGGTCTTCTAAACCTGTGAGAGCCCGAATCTTCAGGCTCAGGGTTTTCAAATTCAGTGTAAACAGGGCCTAAAGGTTTCTCCCGTTCCCTCTTATCATCTCACCCTACCCAAAGACAAATGGTGTAACTTTAACATTCTTTTAAATACGACAGAGATAGAATTTTTTTTAAAAAAAAAAAAAAAAAGAAACAAACCACTATCTACCTATGCCCTATGGGTTGGACCCTTCAGGTTAGGTGTTGACACTGAAAATTAGGTCTTAACAGGTAACGTGCAAACCCATGAAGAGTTGTCATGCTAGAGGGTGGTGGTTGGGACAGCCAGCCTCGTGCTGATTGAAGGCCGCGTTTCTGACAGAAATCCTCACCACAACTGCCATCTTCTGTATATTTGCAGGGGCGATGGTGGGCAGGGCCCAAAGCTGCTCCCCGTTTTACCTCCAACCTTCCCCAAGTGTAACACCAGCACTCGAGGTTTCTCTCTCCCCCAAAATACCAGTTTGAACGTGGAGCCTCCCGCTTGGTAGTAGCAAACCATCTTTTAACGTGCTGTGCTTTGCACACAAACATTCATTTGTTTTAAGAACATTAAAGTGAAGCCAGAAGTGCTTATACCTTGTATATATATACGTATATACGTACGGAAATATATACGTATGTATATCCCTCGAGTAAAGTTGTTTCCCAGCAACGCACAGGTGCTCTGCATCAGGGACAAGTCGTAGTCTTGTACATGCAAAAGAGTACAATTCTCTTTAGATGGACCTTGGATCCAAAGCCCAGGGCTTTTCTGGGTTTACTTCAAATGGCAATTTTTCTGTTGAGGGCACTATTTGAGTGGAAGCAGTTAACGGATACTCTAGCCTGAATGTAATCAACCCACTGACCCTTAATTCAAACCCTAACTTGTTACAGGTGAATGGTACCAACCACAAACAGACTTTTTTTTAGAGGCTCACACAAATGTCTTTGGTGTATGTGTCTATTCATTTTAAGGTACAAAATAATAATAATTATTATAATAATAAAAATAGCTATTTTGTGTGCTGTAGCAGTTCTTGTATAGCTCACAATAAGTGCAGCTCTCAACCCCTCCCACACCCAACCACCCTCCCTTGCAAATATTTGTTAAATAAGGATTAGACAGGTCAGACACCATTGTAGTGCAAATAGTAAACGATTAAAAATTTTTTTTTTTTACAAAATATAGAAATGTTTGGCTCCAGTAACTGGACAAACATGTTCCTTTCAAGTATCTCTCACTGAAGAATTTTTTTTTTAAAACAAGTTACTTCCATTTAAAAAAAGTCTTTCTGTTTTGTTTTTTTTTTTTTCTTTCTTTCTTTCGCAGGTAAACAGTTTCAAACCAACTAGGTTGCATAGTTCTAACGTTGTAAGCACCTTTACAAAATGTAACTTTTATTCTTTCATTCGTTCTTTTTTTTTATTCTGTTTTTTTTTCTTCGTTTTTCTTTTTTCCTTTTTCCTTTTTTTTTTTTTCTTTTTTGTAAATGTAGTGCAGAAGACGAAGGTGTATACACCTGCACAATATTGTCCCTTTACCCAACGTTAAGGATACGTACGTGTATAGTGTCTGTATGTATAGAGATACGTATATAAATACATAGCCATATGTATATACATGCAAACACTACACACCTACTCAGTTCCTCTGTAAATTTTTTTTGGGGGGGGGAAGTGCCAGTGAATGTAGTGTTCATACACATGGCTTTTCAAGGAATTTCAATGACGTTTTGGACTTGGTCCAAATTGCTGCAGGTTAGATGGGCTGCTACCACGGCTTGAACTGGGGGGTAACTAAGGGAGGGAACGGAACTCCCCTAGTAATAACTAAAGTTTAAGATACTACGCAATAAGATAAGGAGCATACTGAAAGGAAGGGGAAATCCCCGACCCCATACCGCCATTCAGACGTATCTCATTCAAGCCCGGGTTCATGGAGCTTTCTTCCTTTTTATAGCTGAAGTCTTTTCTGATCCTCCGTCAAGTCTTTTTTTTATTTTTTTTTTTAAATTCTGTTTTCTCTCTCTCTCTTTTGTTTTTGCTTTTATTTCCAACGATTGTTTCGTTCGAAAAAAAAAAAAAAAAAAGGTTATACCATGTCTGGTCTTTCCTCTTCTTGGGCTTTCGATACCTTTTCTTCTCAACGAGAAGGGTCTTGCGCACCCGTGCGTCTATGAACAGCCACACTCCTCCACAATCATATTCTGGATGTCTTTCTTAATGATGTTCTGGCCGTCGTCGTAGTAGAGCATGGACATGGGCCGCAACTTGGTGGGCACGCAACATGACTTGAGGTTGGCAAAGGGGCTGTGGCCCCGCATGCGGTAATTGTTGATGACAGTGGAGTGGAAAGATAACGATGACCCAGATGTGCCCGCTATATGGCTGGGGCACTCTCCTTCGCAGTAGTTGGCGTGATAACCTGTAGGTGCAATGATCCAGTCACTCCAGCCTATGTCCTTGAAGCTGACAAAGAACTGCTTCTTGCAGCAGATGTTGACTTTGCCATCGCACTCCAGGCCTCGTCTCCGCCGCCTGTGCTGGCGGTCCTCTGAGTGCCGGGCAAGCAACATCAGGAAGGGGCGATGCGATTGCTCCTTCTCCTCTTCTCCTGTGAATTCTCCGGCTTCCTTTTCTTTCCCTTCCCCATCATCTTCCTTTTTCTTCTTCTTGCCCAGTAGCACCAGGCTGGCTCCAGTCTCTTGACATAGGTCACAGGCAATCCGCACATCCAAAGAGCTCTTGCCTTGGTCCAGGAGTCTCTGGATGCTGCTGGAGACAGGAAAGATGTGCCAAGTGCTCTTCCGGGTGTCCACTGCCTTTTCTGAAATCAAAGTCTCGCCCCTTTCACCTTTCAGCCCCCCATCCTCCATATCTTCTGCTCCTTCAGAGTTGCCTTTTGGCTGCCGCTGCTGTTGGAACAGGCGGATGGTGACTTTTGTCCTGCTCCGGTTGGCCTTGGAGACCTTCAGGAAGAGCCACACTTCAGCATGTTCCACCACGGATAGTTCGCTGCCTTCCTTGGAAATCTCAAAGTGCAACATTTTCTTGGCTGTGCCTGATTTGGTAAATGGAAATAGACAGGAAGAACTTGTTAGTATGTCTGCTTGCATGCTGTTAAAGAGAATTCTGTTACTGTCGCCACAGGCATGAAGTTCCCTAAGTTTCCTACTTGGCTCTTTACATTTTTACCATTCTTCTGTCCTAACCTTCCTTCACCTCCTCTCCTCCTCAGTTTGTCCTTTGTGAAAATTCTCTCTTTAGAAAAGTAGTTCTTTGCCTGTTGTTTTCCAGTACCGTACGTTAACCAAAGCATTGTGTTACAGTAACGACATAGTCGTTTCTGTAAAGCATCTCATGGCAAATGAGCATCAGTGGCTGCTATGAGTTCATTTGCCTAAGCTGTCTTTGTGATCCCCCTTAGCTGAAAGGCAAAAATGCTGTTGTGAAGACAGTCCACGACTCCGTGTACCATGTACACATAAATCTGTGCTTCATAGCTAAAGTTAGGGAGTGAGTTCCAGCCCTGCCGATTCTTTGGCAATACTTTGGAAATTATGTGGGAATGAGGTCTGCCCTTTCTCCCTCCGTAAAATGCCATTCTTCATATGCATCTTAAAATGAGTTGTAAATGCCAATTGTTTCAAAAACAAAGAAATACTAAAATATGAGCCCCAGCTTTGAGAGGTTTGCAGGGTTATATTGTAAAGAGTTGCAGAATTGCAGCAGGCAGACTCTTCATCCTGTGAGATGTTAGCTGTAGATCCTGTTCTTAATTTAACACACTGTACTCGCTGTGATTATAGTAATGGTGAATACACTGAGAAATGAGCTAAAGAACTGTATAATTATGGGGATGGTTCTCTGGCATAATTGTATCAACTTGCTGAGATGTCATGATGATGATTGTGATGGTGAGGGGGTGTTTCTCTGATACAGAGCTCATATCCCTGGCAGAAGTTGGAATGAATAATGAGGGCTGTTTAATGATTTCATCACTAGAGCATGAAAAAGTTAAGAGAGAATGAATTAGCCGGGGGGGTAGTGGTCGTATTATTATATTATTATTTTTTTTTATGAGAGGTACTTTTCTATTTTCTTGACAAAAGAAAAACCATGTTGGCATCTCCTACTCTTCCTCAGCGTGGGGGCCAGCACGGACTGGGGTCACGGATTGGAAATGCACAGATATCTGACCTTAGTGAGATACTAACAGTATTCATGAATGTCAGTTTGTCATTGATACTATCCTTGAGCTACCCACGGTGATTGACCCCATTCTCTGTCCAGTGGTTCTGCTTGTCAGGGAACGAGAACTTTGCACCCTAAAAAGGGCAAGGGGTGATCAGAACTGAAGTGGCTGGATGCATACAGGCAAAATTGCTCTCCTGGCAGCTCAAGGCTCTCCTCCTTGCTTCCCCTTGCCATTGAACTCCACTAGCACGGGCTCCCCGATCATCTCCCCGCTCCCCGATTCCCAGGTGAAACAGAAGTGGGGCAAAATCACAAGAGACATACCTATTCTGTACTCCCTTGCAAATTCAAGAGTTCCTGGTTTCTCAGGTCTGTAGGCAGGCTCTGCTGCCCTTTGAGCTACCTGTTGCTTTCCTTCTCCCTGGAGTCCTGGCACTGCCCCATCCAGCTTTCCCTGGTGGCATTCCCAGGTCAAAGAGACAGGCGTTTCCGAATTGCAGTGGCCAAAGGGCACAGCATTTTGGTTTTGTTTTCCCTCTAAGCGAGAGTGTGAAGCTGTAGGCTTCAACTGTCACTGAGATAGGGCAACACATGGTTTGTGTTAACTGCTTCTCCCAGGCTTTGCTGGTGCCAGTCTCCAAAGTGAGTTACATTGATTTCTCAGGGAGCTACATGAACCAGCAGGACTGTGCCTTGGAAAAGGCAGTGGCTTATACCAAAGACCAGTACCACGAGGCACAGTGGAGTTACTGTTTTACTATTATTTTTTAAATAAGATTCATCCAATAATGATGAATCTTTATTTAAAGTTCATTTGCCAGTTCTTACCAGCTAACGCTATTTTATTTTCCATCCTGGAAATGAAACTCTGGCAAAGCTTCCAGCTGTGTTGGAGCAGAGGGCAGGTGATAGGCATTAATCCCACTCCTGCCTGGGTTTCAGAGCATGAGGAGACATACAATGACATTCCTCCAGTCCAAAGGAAATCTGGTCCGTGTTTATGCCCCATCCCTGGAAGTGTTCAAGGCCAGGGTGGATGGGGCTTTGAGCAACCTGCTCTAGTGGAGGTGTCCCTGCCCAGGGCAGGGGGTTGGAACTGGATGATCTCTAAGGCCCTTTCCTACTCTAAGCATTCTATGATGCTATGGTCCAAGAGGCTGGTTGCCTTGTACGTAGGGATGTTTTAAAGAGTGTTCTGCACAAGAATGGATGCTTCTAAGGCCTGTGAGGGCCAGCCAGCCAGCCTGTGGCTTCATTCGTCCCCCCCAACTCTGTCTTCTAAAGTTTCTAACTTTAGCTTATCTCTTTCCTTGGTATAGACCACATAAACTCTTTCTGAGGGGGACCTGGGTTTCAGGGGAACCTGAAGGCAGGTGATCTTCCAGGAGTGGGTTGCTGCCTCCTAAGACTTTCCATCCAACCCCTTCTGCTTGCAGTCCCTACCCAACGAAACCTTGGCAGAGGGGGAAAAAGATGGTTTAGACCAAATCTGCAGAAATTGTTCTGGCACCAGCAGCCTCTTCCCAGCTGCTCTCTTTCCCCAGAGGTCACAGGCTGGTGTGGGGAATAGGCATATATTCCTGGGAAGTGAAAAACTGATTCTGTGTTTCCTGAGGTACCAAGCTGGGTAGAGATAGAAGTTCTGGTGCTAGGAGGGATCCTGTGCTTGAGCAGATCATCCGTGCTGGACATGAACATGGAAAAAACAGCTCAGCAAAAAGCACCTGGGGTGAACAGGGGACGAAGTTGTATGGCCCACCTAATCAGGAGAGCCAGGCAGTCCTGTGTTACAGAACAACCTAGTGCTGGTACATGCTGCTGATGGAAATTTCACATTTTGTTATTTCCATTCTAGTGGAGTTGCAAATAGTTATGAAGTGACATATCTCCAACAGTAAATATTCGTATTACCTCCTGCAGTGGTATATAAGCGTAGCAACGCAGCCACTCTTTTTGACAGATACTCTATGAAAGAAACAGGACCCCAAGAACTCTCTTAATTAGTTTTTCATATGTTCCCCTATGTGTGAAAGTTGAATTCTCCCTCACTACTAAGAATATTAGAATAGTATGGTGAAAGTGCCCAAGTTTTTTCTTCGCTGGAGGAAAGTGAGCTCGAGCAAGGTAGCATAAGACATGTCCTTAGACAGGGCTAACAGCCTCCCTGTGGACTGTTAGCTACAAAAACAGCCTCTCTGGATGTGGTTAGCTGCATTTTTACACACCGAATGGTCAGTTCAGATCCTAAAGAAAAAAAAGATGCAGGAAGCTCCTGCGAGCCTAACATTTCTGGAGGAAACAAAAATCCAGAGTCCTCAAACCGGCGTAGCTAATAAAAGGTTTTAATAGCAATTAAGAAAAACCTTTCCCTTTCACAGAGCTTTTTTAGAAGGAGGCTGGGAATGGTGCAAAGTTGGGGATAAAAAGCATGCTTTCACAGTGGGACAGCACGAAGCTTTTCTGAATTCTCTCCACATTCACAACCGGTTTGTTACGATCACACGGCACAAATGCTACGAATCCTGCAGCCTTTACGAGGTCACTATGCTCAGACGAGCTCATTTTGAAATCAGAGTTTGGCCCGTGCTAAAAATGAATTGAGATCTCTGGGTCTGGCTTGTTACGATTACACAGTCACTTTATAACAGGATCTGAATTTCCAAAAGGTACGGTGCTACAATAAAATAAATTCAAGTGTCCCGAGACTTTAAAAAAAAAAAAAAGAAAAAAAGCTGTATTTAATTTTCTCCAAATATTGCTCAGGGATTTAGCAGACTTCCCTTTTTGGTCTGAGCTAATGACCGGGTTCAAAGCCTTGGAAATATATACCGCTCATCTAACTGAAAGTAAAGAGGAGACCTTCCTGAAGGTTGAGGATGGTATCCCTTCCATAATTACACTTTGTTTATCCTCCTGTCCTGCCTTTTCATCTGCCACAGCTGATTTGCAAGGGTCTTTTTTTCCATTTCTAATCATCCTGCTCCTCCTGCCTGACTCCTGTGGAAGGACCCCACAGCCCATCAGTGGTAATGCCTTCATCACTTCCACGCTCATATAAACGACAATGTCAACAGCCTGGATTGTTATCATAGCAGAAAACAGCTGAAAAAGGAGACGAGGGATTACTTTGCCCCCCCCCCCCCATCCTTTGATTGCTTTTCCTCTCCTCCCCTTCCCAAAACCTTGGAGAGGCCACCTCTTTGCTTTTCTGCTGGGCAAAGTCCCCCTTCCAGGGAGCTGTGACGTGGTGCCACTGGCAAATGCTGTGAGAAATGGTTAAAAACACAAGCCCTAAGTGGTAGTGCATATATGGTAAAAGGTTTAATGGAAGGAGTTAGTGAATGGAAAGTGTAGCACCGGTATATATAGCGGGAGGGTTTGCTGGTATCTGGTTTTCTCTTCAGCGGTGCTCGCACACCTTTTTAGGAGAGAAACCTGGAGGTTGGAAGGGAGGGGTGGCCAGTGCAGGTACCCTCCTTGCCACCTCTGGAAGGGCTGGGTCAGGGCTGGTGCCCTGGTGGGGACACTAGTGGGGGACAGCCCTGCGTGGGGTAGGAGCCCATGGCTCCAAATGTGCCCTTCCTCCCAGGTGGAGAATCCTTCTTCCCTCAGTGTCACTGGCAAAGCTCATTTATTTGCCATTTGCAGCAGAATTCAAGATCAAGCCCTCTTAGTTCAAGCTATACGTTCGTACTAGGAAGGGTCTAAGCTATACAATTAAGAGGATTTTTATTTTTTTTTTTTTGAGTAAAATGCTAAGATACTTAAACCGACCTTTTTCTTTTAAACCGTATGCCGTTAAGCGATTAAGGAACATAATGAAAGTGATTATCCTTTCTGACATTATAATGTGACTTACTCTTA